CCGTCTTTCATCAAGCACAGCTTAAGGTCCACCTACATTAGAACTGCAGGTTTAGATTGATAGGAAAGATAGTTTCAGCACTCAACAGCCGTTTGATGAGAAAACCACCCAACAGACGTAAAGTGGTTGAAGCAGGAACATTCAGGGTGTTCAGTGCGGCTCTGAGGAGAGGAGAGCAGTGACCTACACTAAGCCTGGGAGAGCCCACCCTGACTCCTAACAACTAAACTCCAGCAATAAGACATTCTACAGAGGTCGCTGCCTGCTCTACACCAACCTACGGAGGCTGATGTACAAAATATCTGTGCGCAGGGCACAGTTTATACTGGGTACTTAAAGGTCTACTCCTATGGACAGAAAATCTCTGCGAGACTCTCTTCTGTCTCACTAACACATTTCCATTGGTAGCAGCAGCAGAGTAAACAGAGGAAAAAAGGATTTAGTATGTAGGCAAGGCCTTTGTCACCAAATGTACTTATCAAGTAATTTCTCATGACATGCACAACTGCTTCTGTAGTCACTGTCAACACAAATAGGCTGATAAACAAACACAAAAATGGGATAGAAAATGGTAACAAATGATCTTAAAGGCAGTATACTAATACTTTAAGCATGCACCTAATTCAAAGATGAGTGATGGAGTTGCCAGGTCTGAATCATGCAGATAAAAAAAAAAGACTCCGGTCTAGAAGAATGCCTGTAATCCTGCCAGCAAATTCTCAGTTCCATTCCATAGAATAAAAAGAGTGATACATTCCTTTGACTGCAAATGGAGCAAAATGAAGAAAAAATCCAATCAACTCTTAGTGCTAAAAAACCTTTAAACCACCATTTGTAAAGAAGTTTGAAAAAAATCAGTACATCAATTGTCTCTTCAGCATGACAGGACTAAAACCACCTTTGTGGAGTGTAAACTCGAAACACTACTGCTGGAGCTAAACTTTCAGTGCACATTTCCAACTCGTGTTTCAAATTTACATCTTCCTTTCTGACTCCGTAAACGCACAAATTTCCATCGAACACTGATCCCAGCAATGGGTTGGTACTTTAACCCTAGGAATTAATGCAAACTGTACTGTCTGAAGTTCCCTTTTGCATTTTAGGTGCCTGCAAGTAGGATTGGGCTTAAAGGGCACTATAACTCAAACTCTAGCACAATTACACTCTCCTAAAAAAATTTTTTTTAAAATCTATGGCCACAATATTCTTGAATCTTGATACTGGCAATATGAATATTTTATTTTCATACACAGCTGCACATGTATATATGCATGTTCAGCACTTTTTCTTTCAACACACTTGCATCCAACCATCAATTTAGTGCCAAATTTAAGTGGGTCTGTCTCTCATTGAGTTAAGCCGATTCAGATAGAACTTTAAACACATTAGAAAATGCCACTTGTCAGAGAAGGTTGGAGAATCAGCCTCAAAATAAATACCATCCCCAAGAACATTATGGCTTGGAAGAATTTCAAGAACTCGAGTCCCTGATGTTTGCAAAATGAAAAGGCCTTTGGAAATGCACTCGCATCAATATTTTTACCTATTTTGAATAAAAAATATATATTATTTATAAAATAAAGAGGGCAGGCCAAAGAAGATTGGCCAGAATCACTCTATCAAACTGTTCTGTTCACTCTGTAACTTAAACTTATAAAGCCTTGAAACATCTGGATAGCAGGATTTCTGGAGAAGCACTCTAGAATGCAGATTCCAATCGGATGATACTTCACAACGTTTCCTCGTCTTGAAGATCCACTTGTTTTCTGCCCCTCAAAACTGAAGTCCACGCCAAGAGAAGGGATGTTGGCTCCTGAGAGGGAAGCTGAAATTTAAATAAAGAAAAATGTGCAACTATAAGCACTGATCTGATGAGCAATAGCTGGCTGGTTAATCTTGACTTTGAACATCATTTTAAAGCCATGCAGAATGACAGGGAAACTGCTGCTTTTTCACTCCCTCAGTAGAATGCCAGTACCTCGTCCTCACTGACTATCGACAGAAAAAATAATTTGGGGATTTTCTTGTAAGTGGAGGACAATGGAATAGCATCTACAATATGCAAGAAGCCCATTTATAAAAATCTCGAGTTGCCGTATTTGTGTGGGCAGTGGGTTACAGTGCTTTGCCATACAATACAGGTCTTCAACACCCACAGAAGAAAGAGGGGCAAATTCTGACTATTCGACCTCCTGCAAGTGGGACAGCAGAGGGTACTCCTTGAATCTTGGTCAGTTACCTGCCCTGTGAAAACATTTCATGGAGACTGAAGAGGCCACAGCCTGCAGCTTACTGCAACAGTACGTGGGCAGGATATCCCCCGCCGCTAGGAAACTCAGAACAGGTTATAGGCCAGTGAATATTCTGGTAGCAGCATCTTCCCCAAACTGTATCATCTGTTGTTGTACCCAAGTTTCTCCAGGGTGAAAACAAAATAGGTAAGAGAGTAGCAGTTGATGTGGGTGTTATAAGTTACTTCCATTTATTCCCAACTACAACTTGGCTGTTCGCAACTTCATTTTCTTTTAAGACTGTATTTGCACCTTCCCACACCTTTCACAGATCACTGAACAGACTTCCAATCTTGTACAAGTTAGTGGCAAGAGTTGTTCCTGCCACATTTACCAGAGGAGCTGCGGGGTTTGTATCCTCCCCTACAAACAGGGCTTTCAGCTCTTGTATTAACTGTGTCAACATCCAGCCCAGACGGATAGCCACCATTTTCTTTTAGGTTCTCTTAAACAATGTATTTCTGGACAAGATGGAGAAATATTGGTGAAATACTACCAGGCAGAGATGCATCAACACGATGGGCTGGTGAGAGGGTCTGTGCCCTTCAGTGGGCTCAGAGGCCTAGCTGGCATATGCCACTGTCACAGCCACACCACTCCCAGGCCAGCGTGAAGGTCTGCGCTCCACAGCCTTCAGCAGGTGAGATGACTCTGCCGAGCGCTGTGGGGTATGCCACTCAAAGTCAAAACCTCTCCAACATTACCTCCCAATTGCCCTGCAGAGCGGCTGGTTTGAAGGTAACGAAGAAAGAAATACTGACCTTTCTGAACAAGTTTTATGCGGCTGCATTTTCAAACTGCTATGTCTCCCTTTCTATAGCAAGGGATGAAGCTTCACCAGAATCTATAAAATGAAAAAAAAAAAAGTAGTTAGGAAATCTGTTTTTCTCACTGAGAATATGTTTTTCACTAAGTATGGGAGTGTGTTTTTAAGAATCATTCCAAATAAAAATAGACAACCACTTGTCAGAGATAACTGAACAGCAGTTTTTAAACTGAGATTACTCTATTATTGGCACTATCTATTTCATAACTGTGTCACAAGCTTTAATGCCACAAAGACAAATAAAGACCTGTCTGTTTTAATGGAACATTTCAGGCCTTTCTGGTTAGAAAATTATACTGTTTTACTTCTATTGTGTAAGATGGAATCCGAAAACTCTAAGCTTAGAGCACTTCATGTGGTGAGAAAACAAAGAAGAGTAAAACATCATTTGTGCCTACGACGCAGTCTCCTAAACCCCTTCTGTCAGAAGGGAGCGAGGGTACCAAAGCTTAATGAACCAGGAAATCATCTTCTCTGAATACTGTTGGGTTAATACAGCCGTGGTAGAAATACATCGCAATACACTTCATTAACTCGCAGTAAGTTTATTCCTAAACATTTTCACTTGCAAAATAAAAACCCATAATTTTTCTATGGAGACAGACAGTTTCAGCCCAAATCTTGGAAAACTGAAAGCTGTGGAGGTCAGACTTAAGCCATATATAAGCACCACAGAAATTTCTACTTTAAACCTATGTAGAGAGGTTGAGGCAGTTGAGCTTGTTTCTTCTGATGAAGAGGAAGAAGCTCGAGGTCAATCTAACGGCAGTCTACAACTACGTGGAGACTGTTTAAAGTGACAGCTGGCCTGAAAGCAGCTCATATCTCATATTCAATGGAAACAGCATCCTGCTGATCATAGGCAACAACATTTTGCTCTACTGTAGAGCTGTATTATTACAGTAACTAATACTGAAGAAACTCAAAGTGATTTATGTGCATAAATCTATCTTCATAGCCTGCCTGAGGGATAGGAAAGTTATCACACTGTATTTCTCCCCACCTGCAAAACATCATTAAGTGAAACACACTGTCCTATTAAAAAAAAAAAAAATCTGCAGCAGCTATAGGAATAAGATCCAGTTCCCAAATTCATACTTCCAGAGTTGTTCCCATGCCTGCTAAAATCAGGATTTCAAAACTGTATTATTCTGTAGACTTCTTATACTGATCTCGCACTGTTCAGTTTTAAGATCCAGAGTTTGTTGTAAGACATCACGGTCAAAGTGCAAGAACAGCATTAAGCAGTGTCAAAAAGCAATTTGCCACAGATCTTTCTTTAATTTTCTCCAAATGAATTTTCTCTGTGAAGGTAATGAAAGAAAAACAAAAAGCAAACACTTCCCCCTTACCACTCAATGATACATACACAATAAATTTGCCCAGGCCTCTTGTTTCCCTATTATGTATAAAAAGAATCAGTGTTATTTCCATTTTCAGCTTATTTTCATAGTTATTATCATAGACATCTATTTTACCATGCCAAATCTAATCTGTTTATTCAGATGGGAAGTTCCAGAGAACAGCTCTTTAGTCTGCACACCTTCAGGACAGCACACTACCTGAATGTCAAAGGGAGCTGATAAAAGGATAGGTAAGACCTGCTGGCTCTGGGTCAGTAGTCTCACCGAAATTTCACTCCCAGCATTTTATGGAACATCTTTTTTCATCCAACTGATTTAGCAGCCGCAGGTCTGATCCACATACAAAACCATATTGGTTTTACTAAATATAGTCACTAATTAATTTAGCTGAACTGACACAGATTCCTGCACAGGTACCCCTCCATCATTTCAAAACGGATTATAAGGCAGTCATTGATGCAGGGTTTAGCACTGCTTTAACTTCATCTTTTTCTGTCAGACACAATTTTACCATTTATATCATGCCTAAAATCCGGAGATGCAAACCTAGTCTTTTGTCTCAGTTTTACTGAATTGGCCAATACACCATTGTACTGTCTGAGCAATCTCCGCTCACTTCCGACAGGTAAGTCGCTGTTTAGATTTCTCAATGGATAGAAATTCAAGCCCTACAGTCACAACAGGTGACTTCTCTACTCAAAGGACTGCTATGCCAAATTAACTGGTATCTCAGGACATGAAGGTCCTTTAATTAGACTCCTACCAATTTGAATTTAAATTCAAATCACATGCCTCGAGACACCTGAAGCTCCATCACACCAACAGAGATACCAACTTCCACCTATTACTCAGGATACACTGGTTTCTGCTGAAAAGATGTTACTTAGTACAGATGACAAATTTTTGAAAGTGAGAACAATTTGGGAACGATTTGATTCATACTGAAGCCTTTTGTGCAAGTTTAACTGAAACGCATGATTAAATGAATGCATCAGTCTAAGAGAGGAGATGTTGCTATAAATGTACAGAAACGGCTGTCCTGTCCTAGGTTCTGCAAGGCAAAACGTGCAAGTGCGTTCACAGTACTGACACACCCACCACCAGCACGTCAAATACATTCTCGAGGAGTTCTTTGAAAAAATGGATAACCTTATAAGCTGCCAGCATGTGATTCATGGTAGTTCTCTGGCTAGACAGATTAAACAGATGCCTGTGAATAAGGGGTAAGCATTAATAAATTTGAAAAAAAAATAAATATCAAATTACCATGAATTTGGAAGCAAGTGTTTTCAGTCTCTAGCTAAGAAATGAAACAAAAGGTTCCCTACAATGTTTTTCTCCTTACATGAAACAACAAAAGCCTTAGAAAGGCCAGGATTAAGGAAAAAAAAATCCAACCAGGAAGGGCACATGTAAACATCCGTATCACAGAAAAAAGGACAACCCTGTGGATAAGATGACTGAGAAGATGGCCTGTACACGCCTGGGACCTAGACGAAGCTACCTCATCTCCTTGCTTTCAGTTGGGCTTGTCCTCTCCCTCTTCTGCAGGAGCCTGGAGTGAGGGACTCAGCTGATGAGGAGACCCCTCAGTACTCCTGCTACATAACACAAGCACGTGGGCAATTACTGGAGGCGAGAGACCCCACTTACATCCAAGAGGGCAGTTCTTACTCTGACCTTGGTGCAGCTGGCAGTGCCGTCTCCTAACACTGGAGGACTGAAAAAATCTGAACTTTCATGTTTCCTCAGCTCCTGCTTTGCCTAAGGTCCAGGTAATAGGAAAAAGAACAAACCCGGTACCTTTTCATATACAATTGTCTCTCCCCCAACATATTTTACGATGCTCCAGATTTAGATTGATGTTTATGATGCTCCAGATTCAGACTGTGGGGTCTGATCTGGCCAAAAATCATCTCACTGTCAAACATTTTCATACTTAAGATTTTTTTTTTTTATTCAGAGAATTATACAAGTTGGAAGAAGTTCTGACTCATTCCTAAAGGAGTTATTTTAAGCATCATAAACAATACACAGAGCTGCCATATTTTTTTATTTTTAAAGCCAATTTGTGTTATCTTATAACTGCCAAAACATATAGAACAAACCAGGAAGAACAGGTAGTTTTCTAACACACAAATACGAACTAATTAAAGCAGTTAATCTGAAGAAAAACTGAAATGAGCCTCTTCAGTCCTACTGACAAAATCCTGGAGCGTACATTTTCCCAGCAGTATGTGAAGTGTGCCTTGGAAAGAGCACAGACTGTTTATTTTGCAGTGGAATAACTTGAACAAACAGCAGCAGGTAAGTCCTAACCAGAGACTGAACAGCAAATACTGTGCCGTGAGGATTAAAGAGCTCATTGCACATGTATTAAAAAGTTCACATGAAAAGTTTCTGTTACCCCCTTTAAGCAAGCCTATAGTCTTCCTCACAGGTTCCCAAACATCCATTGTGCACATATGACTAAAATGTATACCCTGAAAGGGAACATTATCAGCAAAGTTTCTGAAAACTATTCTGAGGCAATAAAGACTGCGACTATAGAATTTGTGTCTCTGAACAATAAAGCAGGGATATTTGCTTCTCTAAGTATACTTGCTTGATCTGCCAATTACAGTAACCTGAGAATTAATTAACACTTTCACCATTCCTTAAAGGGAAAAGAAGGGCGAGATTATCGGACTTCTTTTAAAAGGAACCTGTGGATGGCATTCTGGCTCCACAGGAAAAAATATGAGCCCTTGCTTAACTTACTGACGGGATTTCTGAACCCTCAAACATGGTAACGGGGGTCTCTGACATAAACCCTGATATTCTGATACAGACTGTGTTCTCCAAAGACCAAAGCTTGGAGGTAAATATGCAACGAAAAAAAATCAAGTTCAAACAGAGAATTTAACAGTAAAGAATCATTAAACTAGTTTTGGATCCACCTAACAAAAATCATCAAAGAATGGATATACATATAAAGTCTTTTTCCTAATAGGATATCCATAGCATAAAAGGTAGGTTTACATTTCAGAAACTGATCAAGTCTATTGTATAAACACGCCAGTTCACCTCAAATTGCTCTCAGTACACATAGTTCTTCTATGGAGATTAGCGCATAGCTAGGCAAGCATCAAAACCAAACTGACTTCTTTACTTTTGTAATAAAGCTGAAGAAACAATGTATAAAGTAGCTTCCTAAATGTATCACTGCATTCAGGTGTTTGCATGCATGTTTTCACAAACTGTGAGAGGATAAATGCACTTAAAAAACCCAAAAAAACTTAAGTGTTTTCATTTTTACAGGCACAACTTTATGTCTCCAGTAACTGTGCTGCATGCAGCAACATTTACATACAAATACACTGTCTGTGGAAAGTTCAATTTCTCTCTGCAACTTGTAACAACCTCTCACAGATCATTTACTTGCAAGTAGAAAGCTACTAAAAAAAAAAAAGTTGACTCCAAAGTAGGGCTTATTTTTAGTCTGTGTTCATTGGTCAAGTCAGAGCTGCCCAGCGACTTAGCCAAGTCAATTTTTTTATTTTATTAGCTCTTATAATTCCTCTGTTAGTCACTGTAGGTCAAGACACAACTAATTTCCTTTAGAGTTACCTTACCATGAGGCTCTTCATCTATTCCATCATCTTCCCACTGCTCTTCATTTGCTAGGAGAGGATTCTGGGCTTCGCACAAAGCTCTCATTGGGAAAAAATGTCCATCGCCCTGGCTGCATGGAAGAAGGCAGAGAACACCACTGTGAAAAGCAGCAAGTGGCTCTGAAGGATGACAATTTCTACATGTTTAATCTGCAAACAAAGTATTCTGTTGCCTGTATTTACCATCTTTACTTAAAATTATTTTTAAGTTTTGAAAAATACTGTGTTTATTTTTCATGGCAATTCAGATACCAAGTTTTACTAGCGAGCAGATTTGGTCCTCATTTCCTTCAAGCTCTCTGGGAATAGAAGTTCAAACCTATAGCCTGGAATTAAGTAATTTTTTAGGAGAACTTACATGTGCCTAACTCAATCAAGTCATTTGGGTACAGGGAAAAAAAAAAAAAACAAAACAGAAAAAAAATTAACTTATGGACAGCTAGAAGTGAGGGGGGAAGTAAGGAGAACATTTATGTAGAAGTAGCAATTCATACCATAAGTATAAATTTTATCAACTTATATCATAGATTCTTCTGGGCAGAAATGACATTTCTGTGGTTGAATGACACCCAACAGAAAATGGCCCCAATCTTAGGTAGATATTACTGAAAGACAGATAAAAGACCCACTTTCCTGTGACCTAAACCTGTACACAAAATGGAAAAAACAAAACAAACAAAACCCACTCTACAAAAATCTAAAGTTGCAAAAGCTTTTTTTGCTTTACTACTGCCCAAACAGAAATGTGTATCTGGATATCAAACAACAGATTGACAGTACGTTCAAATTCATGTAAAGTAAACTAACAAAGTTAAAAACTAGACGTTCTAGCGTGGTTCACACCATAGTGTATTCCCTAACAGCCAGCAGCACAGAGGAACTGTAAACCAGCTGAAGTGCCTTCTTCCTCTGGTGATTTATCTTTAGGCAAGGGAAATAACGTGAGCGTTCAGCCTGCGATGACTACAGACACTGGTAACGCACCTCTGACTAGTGCCTCAGTGCTGCCTTTCACTAACAGAAAGGCTTTCTGTGCTGAGCTTTTCCCTTTAACTATACTTAAGGGTGGAAAACAGATGGCAGTGGGGATGCAACTGGGCCTTAGACTTACACATTGCTACTTGAATTCAAGTTGTGAACTGTTGTGCCAGGAAGTTATTTTAAATTGTGCCCAGATACTAAAGGAATTAAATTCCAGTGTACTTTACTACTGATCTACTAAGTGCCAAAACAACCTTTTCCCCTACGTTAAGAAACATAAATTCTGTTTCAGGCAGAGGAGTCTGACAGATTAAGAAAACAGCATCTTTGAAGTGAACGCCCATCCACACACGTGCCACAGGAATCCAGGAAGAGTTCAAACACCATGCACAGCGCATTTAGTCCTCAAAAACCTTTCTATCCCAGGCTTCTGGTGAACAGGATTAACACGGATGACGTTTGTTGGTGCATTCATGGTGATGCACAACAGTAGTCAGCCAAGCCACACGATAATAGGCGTAACACACGCGGCTGCAGCAGACGTTTAGAAGTCAGTCCCTTCAGTGAATTGTATCAGCTTTTAGCACTGACCTGATTATTACTTACCTAGAGGCAACAGGTAGTAACCAGAGCTTTTTTTCTTCTCCAAACACTTGCTGAAGATTCTTTACAAAGCCAAGATTGAATCCATTTTTATCTGGGCCATTTTGAAACACTGGAGCTGAGAAAGCCTCTACACATAGACACAATTTCAGTGAAAAAAACGAAAATCAATGCCAAATACTCTGAAACAGGATTATGCATGTTGCAGCCATCTAAAGTCAACACGACTTAACAGATTATGAACTAGCATTACAAAGATACAAAGTTTGAAAATAACATTTTTTTCATTTTGCGTGCTTTGTTATAAAACTTTATCCAAAAAGCTTTAACAATTGAACAACAAAGACAAAGAAATTACTCGACAAAATCATACTTTTTCAGGTTTTCATTTCATTGGTTTTACAGTCATTGAACTGTAATTTACAGTCATTTACACTTCTTTGCCTTTGTCAATGAAGATGGACACAGTTTTTCCCAACCTTACTAAGCTGTTTTAGGATGCATTCCAGCATATGAGCATAAAGAACCATTATTCCTGAAAATCTGCACTCATTTCACAACAAATGTAGTTAGACATATGCATAGCATTTTTATAATTGGACTTTTACACTTTAAGACTCTCGTTTCCCTAACAAAGCTTTTGTCACACCAGCTAATAAATGCAGCTTATTTGAAGTGACAAATTTCTGCAGCATTTTGCCAAGATCTTAAATCTTTCTCCCTTCATAAGCCAGCAGGAACGTACAGAAGTAGAACACAAGTGCCCCCTTTTTTTTTTTTTTTAGTTCTTACAGCACTTAAGGCACAAGAGTCTTACCTAAAGTAGATCTGTTTCTACTAACGAGCCAACAATGGTAGCCAAACAGAAACAGGAGGCTTACGAAGAACATGACCGCCACAAAGAGA